GCAATCACAAAGTCTATCACAAAGCTACTGAGGCCTTCACCAGCCGCTTATATCTTCACACCAGTTGGTTCTGTCTTGTGGTCTGTCCTACCAGCCTGTTGTGTCCTACAAGCTGGCTCTGTCCTTGTATCAGTTCTGTTCTACTACCAAGTGGTCCTGTCCTTTTACCAGGCAGTTGCCAGCTTGTCTGACACAGGGACAGGTTCAAAGTGGACCACAGGGCAGACACTTGTGGTCAGCTGGCTGAGAAGGTTTGGTTTGTCATTATCAATTGATGCATTAAACTAAATTTCATCATATTCTTGTGAACCATTCCATCATCTGTGCCTTGTAGCTCCCATAGTGTGCATTTAGGTTGGTAATTACCAATAGATGACAAACCACCAGAGTAGACCAGTTTGGTAGAAAAGTGGTGTCCCATCATCCTCTATGCTTACAAATTGGAAACATTATTGCTTCTTTATGGCTTATCTAGTCTTCTATCTACTTTGACACATGATTATCAAGCCTCACTGGAAGTAAAAGGCTAACTTTACAGGAACACAAAAATAGCATTTATTCTATTCAAGAGACTAGACCAGCTAACTCCAGGGGCATGTGAAAATATCGACATCCTTGAAACAAAAAACATTCACTGTCTTCTGGTTTGTCATAACAATGTCATCAACATAATGCAATGTTTACTAGACTGAAGTTGTTGTTTACACATTTGGCATAGGTAAACATGCTGCTGACTCCTTGAATGAGATTTATCTGAACAAAAAGTTTCCCACATTCTTTTGAACTATTGTCTCGAAATATGAACTGAAATAAATATACTTTAGCTAGATTGTTAAATACATGTAGTTCTATACCGTGTAAAGGCTACACTTACAGTAATAGGTGGGAAAGAATAATTCCAAGAACTATGGAATTGTTGTGTATTGATGTAAGCTAAGTACACCTATGTGGGTCACAAGATGACACCCCCAAATCCATCATGTACTACTGTTTCTTTCATAGATTATCACAACATACAGCTACAAACACCAGCTGACATGCCCTTCTACATTTAGTAAAGTGTGCCTTGCCTTTTGGAGATAGGCTGAATGAAAGTTATGTCTACAACTGCATCAGTACTTTTCAAGGACCCCATTCCATCCATCTTATTTTGCCAAACGAAATTGTCCTTACCAGTGTTGAAAGACCTTCAAAACTAAGAAAGATGTGTTTGTGTTCCAATGGTAGAATAGAGTGGGCAACAGGCACACAATTACCAAATCACACTTGGATGTTCCCATTGGTTTGCTGAACCTGTCAGCAATTACTAGAAAGTGGCATGTACAGCTAATGGTAAATTCAATCCAGGCTGAGGATTCAGCTAGACTTTTATTTTACATTATTTACACAAGGTGGTAGAACAGTGAAGTTATCAGCACTTTCAGTACGTTTCAAGTGAAGTCGTACACTAATCTTACACTTTGGCAGTCTATTTGACATTACCTATAAGATCCAAATTCCCATGTAATACTTTATACATCCTCATGGAAATGCTTTTTCCTCAAAGTTATAGAAATATATATAGCCAGGACTGCATAGAATAAGACATTTGTATCATATCTCAAACTGTCAAATAAATATCAACTCCAAGTTCAACTTTGTACAATATCTACATTGTTACGAGTTATCTTCAAACCAATCAATAGCATCGTCATGAGACATTCCTCCATTCAAGCAAAATCGTTACATCTGATCCTTTTCGACCTAGCAGCACAATCTTAATAAAAGTATAACTTAAAAGTTTGTTTACCACACCATTCAAATCTGAGGAAATCCATTTCTGTCTAGTATGTTATTTCATAAGAGAAGCATTCCAAAGAAGGTCCATGTGTGTGATGTATAGAGACTATTTACATAAACACAATCAGTATTACATTTTATGTACAACAGAATGAAATATACTTCAATATCGACATATACATTTGAATATGTAGCAAAGCCGTAGTTCCACATCTTCAATATCAGATGTCTTTACAGTGCAATGTAGTAAGAGGAAGGTCCCCATGACAGTGTCTGGCTTGTTTGTTTGTTTGTTGTCATGGACAGTATCAACATGCAACAGAATAGTCCCTACTTGAACAGCTGTGAGACTGACACGCAGAGGTTGTTCTTCCCTTTCCCAAGCAAGACGGCCTGGTTTGTCGGTTTGTGGCATCTGATTTAGAAAGGCAGGAGCTGGTAGGCCTGCAGGCTGCACAGGACAATGAAGACGACCCAGAAAGAGAACATCAGCAGCGCACTGATCCACTTGGAGACTTTCTTTCCACCCAGCTCACCTCCAAAACACTGCCGGGATACAAAATATTAACCTACTGTTTCACCAGCTTTTCAGGAATTGTGCAGTCATTTCTATATGGTCCTCTTACAATGTATGTACTAATAAGATAAACATATTATTTTAAAGATGAAAAAACAAATTTAGAGACATCATCATCAAGAATCCAAACATTAATATATGTATCAAATTGCAACTTTGGGAATGCAAAGTAATAATTTTGTCTATTATCAGTGTGAATAGAGTCCCAACTTTTTTAATAGTCAGGATGCAGGATTCAAGCAAGCTGTTAGACTGATGTTGGACTGTAAGGTTTGTGCATGTACGACCTCACCTTCCTCCTGACGAACAACATCAGCAGACACAGCGCCCCAACAGCCAGGAAGGTGAAAACAGCAAAGCGGAGATTTCCAGGCAGCACCCTGTACTCTGTGCCCTTGACCAGATGGTACATGGTAGAGATGACCCATGGCAGACCCAGACCCAAGAACACGTTCACACTGTTACTGCCTGCAGTCAACAAAAACATGGCTCAACCTCAAGGCAAGTATATGTTACAGTACATAAAAATCCCCAACAGTTAAACAGTGTAACATTTTAATACATTGTATTTCAAGTCGTTATGTCATGCAATCCTTAGTGATTAAGAAATGACCAGAATTTATTTGAAAGTTTTGTCCAAACATTACATGATGATGAGGTAGAAACTTGAATTAAGGTTGCAGACAAAATGATGAAAATTGCTTGCTCATCTCTTTTTGTAACATCATTATTGATGATTATTGGAAATTAAAGGATTGATTGATCTGACTTTACCTGTAACATTCCCAATAGCAGCATCTGCATGGACATCGTGTATAGCAACTGTGCGGCTGGCGAACGTGTCTGGCACACTGGTGCCGAGTGCGATGATGGTGATGCCGGTAACACTGGTCCGGACTCCAAACACACAGCCCAGCAGGTGGCCCAGCTACAGGTCAGGGCAAACATGCATTAACATTTTGCGACAATGCAGGAAACAAAAACGTGAATAAGATTTGAAATATGTACCACTAGTTACTCTCCAAGCAGAGGTTGGTGGGGGAAGATCGTCACCGTTTTATATATGCCTCGTTTTTTTTTTGTCGCCCCCCACGAAAACGGTGACGATCTTCCCCCACCAACCTCTGCTTGGAGAGTACCACTAGTAAGATAAATACAACATCCATTTTTACAGAGAAATGTTGTTTGGACAGTGTTGGAGGCACTAAGGTATTGAATTAATGTCAGTGTTTCCAACTTTCCATCAATTGATTCAAAAACATGTTGGTGTACCAGTAAGTGTAAAAATGCAAAGTGCCCTGTAATGTGCATCACCGTGGTATAAGCTGATTCACAGTTTGAACTACAGATGTACAATGTGATGCATAATGTTGGTAAGTGTTAAAGTTGAAGACACCTGAGATATACTGGTACAAACTCCTTACCGTTTCAATGAAAGCTGTCAGCATGGTGATAAAGCCCAGGGACATTACAAAAGCTGGCCAGCCTCCCAACATAGATCTGTAAAAAAAATGAAAAATAATGCTCAGATATGTGGAAGAAACAAAATGCAATGAATGATAATGAAATGTAAATGTAATAATTGTGAACAATGAACATCAATTATTGATTTGGCAATCAAATAAGTTTAATTTCTGGCAGAATATTACAAAATACTACACTAAAGGTATTGAGTATACCTTACAGATTGTACTTGTAGTCTATAGCTGTAAATGCAGATCTACATTTTATCCAAATTTCTTGTTGAATGTAATTGGGAATTAGCTGAGGGAGATTTTTTATTTCTTGCTGCTTTGCAGTAAGACTTTGACCTCACATGTCACCTACCTTGGAGGAATAAATGCGAAGAGGACCTTCCAGAAGAAGGTGACAAAGTGCATGATGAGCTGTCCAACCGAGGGGGGAATCTTCTTCCCATCCTCATCCTCCTCACTTTCCAGGCACATCGCACTGCAACATCAACAGAAATAAGGTCCTACAGTCCATATGTGTGGGTGGGGGTTGGTGTTTCAGATTCTTTCAAATTGTCAGTTGGATATATTCCTTTGTGCTGTAAAATTAGCTTATACATAATATATTCAATGAGCAATAGTAGGTCTGGTGTTTGCTTGAGGCCTTAAGTTAACCCCCTGATGCTTAGCCCAATAACCAATACAAAGTTGATGCAAAATGGCTACATTAGCAGGCTAAAGGGACAGTAATTTGGATAGATAAAAGCACCTTCTGAACTGTCCACCCCACGATGTGTCCTCTTCCTCCGTGTCACCCATGGGTACAACATTGGCAACTCTCTCTGCCAGCTCATCTACAGGTAGAAAAGAAGGAAATCTGTTGATTGACATTCTTCTCAATTTTTATTTGAAAAGCTGAAAGACAACTTGTCTACTATTTTAGCTCAATTGATTTTCCAAATGAACTATGGACATGCTAGCAAAAAACAATAGCACACTTATTGATAGACATTAGTTCAAAATGTAGTTGACTAATACCAAAGCTGACAGTTGGCTCTTAAGGTTTTTACAACTAATACTTTAAGCTTTAGAAAATAAAAGGCCTAAAAGCCTACAGAAAAGGATTTAAGTACTACTAATTTGTGCTGTTACAACCAGTTAAGGCAGTGCATTTAACATCTAGAAGAGTGTGTGTATGCTTAACAAAACTTGCCTTCTTCCTCTGTTAGGTAGATGACACATGCAAGTAACAAGGCCAAGAATGAGACAATGTTAGTAAACATGCCACTAACATGCTATGGTTTATGAACAAAATTAGTGTTAGTTTCACATGATAATGTATGAATGTGTGGATAGCATGTTGATGATACGGTATGAGTAGAAAAAATGAGTTTTTTTTTCAACAGCAGACTTAGTGAATTAGTTGTAAAGCAACAGCAGGATCTGTCTGAGATGGAATGATAACAGCTTGACTGTCTGCATTTCAGTTGCTAGGAGATAGGTGGGGTGAGTGCAATGAGTGGTACGATGAGTGATCAACCTGTTTGTCATAGACAGATACCACTCCTTTGTGCTTGCTTCCAAATAGCCCAGATACAGTGGTACTTGTGCTCCTATTATGTCATGTTGACATGTGGTAACAATGTGACTCTAATACTGATATTGTTGTAACTCAATCAATCATCATTATCATTGCTCAATCAGTCAATGGACATGGAAATTGGTATAGAACTGACATCCAGCCCTAGATCAATGTGCCTTGAGGCCAATAAGTACTTCTATGGACACATCCAATAGAAGTTTGAGAAGGCTGCTGTCCCTAGTCCCTAATCCTGAATGAAACTGTTGTGTTATGCCGAAGGGCGGTTATACCGGCTATACAGATACAGATACAGAATCCAGGAATCTTTACCTTTACAGAGGAAGCCAACTGCCGCTCCTGGCTCTCCTATCTTTGAACCCAGGCTTGGATTTCTCAGCAAGATTACAAAATTTCTGTGACCCTGAAATAAAAAGAGAAACACTTATTATAGAGAAATGGTTAGTACTTATAACTCAGTGGTTACTATAGGACCAAGAGAAGGTAAGAAAATGTAAGATTTCTTAGATAAATCTCTTGATATAGATTGATATAACTGTATAAAAGTCTCCAAAGCTTTTTTTAACCCAGTAAGTATCAAGAATGGTAGATATATAACATTAGATCAATAGCAGGGAGAGTAATCATCCCAAGTCTTGCTACGAGGTATGCATATTGATGAGTTAAACACAGGTTTGAAGCCTTGCATAGGCCTCAGGAGTAAAGTTAATGCCTCGCCATCATGATAAATTCATGCACCCTACCAGTAGGTCACAGAACTGCACACAAATATTACCATTTTCTCCTTGTTAAGATTGATGGTGATTTGCTTGGATACTTCCCCATTGGCAAAGTACAGCACGCCAGAGTTGCTGATGTAGTCCAACGTTGGGGAGGAGAACGGACCACCCTTGGCGGTGCCATCCCTGGGAGACAAAAAAGTTACAAGATGTTTGCAAACTTTGCTGCCATCTATGCAACTGCCCAATGTGCAAAGAAAATACACCATCCATTTCATTTTCCACCTTGCTTTCTCTCCATGATCTGTATAAATGGTCATAATAGCTGTGAGTTAAATCAGAGTGACCCTCCTGCTAGGCTGTGGCTACCAGGAATGATTATGTTTGATGTTTGTTCGTAATGATGTTTTCCCTCTTGACTACTACTAACTATATACGTCTAGCCTGGTAACCAATTGAGCTCCCCAGTATCTCTACGGGAATGTTGCCTGCCCACCCAGGCCCATTAGCACACATCCGGGAATTTTTACCATGTTGCATTGGTTTCAATTACTTTGCTCCTGAAGAGAAGAGGGCAGTAATCAAAAAGACCTGCTGGAAAGATACATGTAGGCTGTCAGAAAAAGGGCTATACTTATGACTAGGGCCAGTAAAGCACCCTGATCCACGGAGAACAGTTGAACTAGTAGATGTGCGAGTCATTTTTTTATCATAGTACTCACATAGTTGTGTACTCCACACTGGTGTTCCCATCTGTACCATTCTGTCTCAGCACAGTGGCTGTCACCTTGAAGGTCCTGCTGTCCCCATAGTAAATCGGCTGCTCAAACACAAAGTTGCCAGGCTCTGGGGGGAAGAAAACTTGCATGAGTAGCAGTTTAAATTCATAAGAGACAAAATGTGCCTCTGGCAGGTCATGAAATATATCCAATAAATCACAGATGTCTCCATAGCCAATACTTCTTTGGTTCATTTATTATTGGTTTGAAGGCATTACTACTAAAATAGGAAGCTTGTCAACTTACATATGAGACTGTTTACAATATAGAAAAGTATTATGTTAATATCATGCCCACCTGTCTTATTTTAATTTTTACCTCAGTGTACCAAGGTTTTGTTTTCAGTGTGTCTGTGTGTATGCTAGTGTTTCAGTAGTTACCCAATATTTTCACATGCTAGACAAATTTGCGACACTGACAAGAGGTTAGGTCCCAAAAAGGCAATCTCATATCTTTCAATTCCCTATCCATGCCTTATGTAGACAAAATCAGCAGGAAATTCACAATAAGGAATAAAACAAGAACTTCAAAAACTTCTTTCATCTCTGGAATAGGCCCATGGTAAAGTAGACCACAAGGCACGCAATGATCAGTTCTTTTATATAGAAAAGTATCAGAATAATCCAATTTATTGCCTAGTGTTCAAACCTAATTTAGCTGCTTTGTCCTCTTCGCATGCGAAAGAGACTCGGCAGCTAAATTGGGTTTGTACACCAGGCTACCAATTTTGGCAAATCATTTGGAATCATTGGGTACAAGAGATAATGTGTCTGTTTCAATCTGAAACACTGGGCCTTGAATACTAATGAACCTGATGTGTTTGAAGAGAGCCATGCCTCAAGTAGGTCTGACTTGACTCTAAGTATATGCCTTTGCAGGAACTACTCAAAAAGAGTTGGGGCACTTTCTAGTGTGAGTGGATCAAAGACTTCGTCTCATGGCTGAGACAAGTACTGTTCATCAAATTACTACTCTAGACCTTTGATTTTTAGCCCATCAACTGTGGTCTCTCATCGTGTTCCCTCAACTGTGAGGGAAAACGTCAGCCCTAAGAATAGCCAATAAAAGCTTAATTTATTAATATCATTGGGATAACCAAATTTGAAATTTGAAAATGACTTTCTTCTGATTACTGCTGTAACCTATAATTATGTTCTACTTCTTATCAATGTATGTTGTCCCATAAAAAATGAGTCATTATAGTTTTAGTAATGAACAAAATGCAATTTGTCTCATTTGCATAATAATGCTGTTTAGATGCCAATATTCCAGAGTATAGGAAGAGAGTACTGGTAGATTGACTAGACTGCAGTTACTGATAACTTATCATAATTCTGAGAATGGCATTCTTGGATTTATCTTTCCACACACAGTAATTTTAACAGTCTACATGTATGTCAGTTCTTTCTAAATTTGTCTTAGTTTCAATATGTTCTTTGGCATCCTGTGCCCTGGTCTTATTAGCTTTTATACTGGTAGTGATTGTAAACTGCCATTGATTGTATACTATGGTTTATTGCTTACTGGCAGTGATTGTATACTGGCAGTGATTGTATACTGCCATTGATTGTATACTGCCATTGATTGTATACTGCCATTGATTGTATACTGGCAGTGATTGTATACAGTCATGTACTTCCATTGATTGTATACTGCCATTGATTGTATACTGCCATTGATTGTATACTGCCATTGATTGTATACTGGCAGTGATTGTATACTGCCATTGATTGTATACTGCCATTGATTGTATACTGCCATTGATTGTATACTGCCATAATGACGTATTGTATAGTGGCACTAATCTGACATGGACAATGGTGAACAGTTAGTCCTAATCTAAATACAAGGTGTTGAGGAAAACTAACTAATGGTCACAAATGTGAGATGGACAGTGTGTTTTTGAAACACCCCCCAAGGCTTTAGATGAACTGCAGGGGGCTGGGCTTGTAAGTTTAGCAAGTTTGCTGACACAAACAAGATGGTGGTTACTGGCCTGTTGCTCTGGGTTAAGTCAGCATGTACAGTACTTACTGTCATCATCAATAATGGTCACTCGTGCGACGCTGGGGTCACCTAGCGCTGCATCCTCTCGTGGATTGGGACTCTTGAGAATCACGTAGAAATCCTTGTCTGACTGGTACTGCTGGTCATTAATGATGGGAATCTTGATCTTCTTTCTGTATTCTGTTTCTTTGAAAACCTGTCCGGCAAGAAGACACAGTTATCAGCGATATTAAGAAAAACAGTCAACAGCATTCAGAAGATAAACATCATAGATTATTGGTGTTCTTGATTACCTCAGACGTCTTACAGAAGATATAGATTCTCCTTGATCAGTAATGGATGAAATTTCACATTGTCTTGAAATTTAGAAAGGTCACCCTAAATCAAGTCACATTCAGGCATAGACTCAGTGATTATGGGAACGTAATCTGATATTGCACAAAACATAGGAAGGACTGAGTTTAGCTTCAGTTTTAGCAAAAACGTTACACAACAATTCTTCACGAATGTTTGTCAAGAATCGGGAATAAATACTAGTACCAAATTGTGCTCAATAATTCCATTCAATCCAGTATATACATCTGTATATACAGAAATAAACCAGAAGTACTGTTGCAAATTGTAGGCAGGCATTGCTAAGTAAAAGAATTATCTTTCTTGGAAACAATAGAGTTAATGAAATGTGTTTCAGGCTTTTAATAGTCCATTTTCTTGTGTAGTCAGGAACCAATGTGATCTTATTTTCTCTTTAATAAGAATTTCCATCAGAAAGTGATATTGAAATTTAAAGTATCAATTTTGCCACGGGACATATTCATTACCTTACAGTGTGTGAGGCAGCACAGATAACATCATGTCTCATCAGTCTCATGGAAATGAGAAGGTTAAAAGTGCCACCTACTGGTGTAAATTGGATGCAGGATGCACATATAACCGGGGGCCAGTATGTCAGCATCATGTTGAGGTTAATAGAGACATCACATTTTGTATCCAGTATTATGCCTCCCAGTTTTAACCCTTTGTTAGGTTGTTACGAAGACCTTTTATTTCAAAATGTTAGTTCAAAAGAATTACTCACAAGGTTGCAGAATGGTTATAGCAGCATTGGGCTTTCTTTGTGTGTCCTATAATGCCATCCTACACACCATCAAGAACAGAGCTAAATGTGCAATTTACAGTCAAAACTACTTGGTTGAAATATTTATGATGGTGATTTAGCTAGGATTACACAGGGGGAGTACGACAAGGCTCAAGGAGATACCCCGGGCAAAGTCATTATACTGGAGGTAATAAAGGTTTTGTTGATTCCTTGTAAGATAAAACTAAATAGACTCTTTATTCTCTCTATACGTTGTCACATGCAGCATTGAAATATTATCATCTAATCTTTTACCTTCCATTCTCAGTCTTAATGTCTCCAGGTTAAAGTTAGGTGTAATATTGATGTAGAGCAGTTATTGGGTCATCTAACACAGTGTTCCATCAACCCGAATTACAGTTCTTGCAGGCATGAAAGAAAACTCCTGCTTTTGTCCCACAGTATGGCAAAATCGATAGCATCAAGAGAAAGTCATTGACAGGCGTAATGGAATACGTAATGAAGGCAGGCCGATCTCCACCTTAGAGACAGGAAATGGAACAGTGTGAAAAATTCATGGAGGCATTCGTCTTGCAGACATGGCTGTTACCAAGATTGGATGTACAGATTTCAATGCTGGGTAGAACTCGCCATTACCGGCATGTTCCCAGGCACTTATGAGGTTTTGGGGAAAAAATCAATACCCCTGGGACCATCTACATCAATCCAGTTACCGTTGTGATTGCTTGGGGAGAGACGCTGATTTACAGAAAGTTTGTAGACACAGACAACAGGGGAGATTTTCTTTGGGGTAGAAATGCACCTGGGGACTAATCTACAACCATGTTGGGCATGGGCCAGTTATGGGTCCCTGCATGCTAAGAAAACAGAGAACTGCAGGTAATGCAGGCAGAAAACAGACTCCTTACCAAGACAACATTTACTAGAGCAAACACAGGATGCATGCACTGCTTACATGTTGTCATGGTAATATGTTGTTTGCCCCATGCTTTATCCATAATTCTGTGATCTGTAAACAGGTCTATTTTAAGACCGGAAAGGCATGACAATTTGTCTTCTCACCAGTCTGCCCTGTGTGTGGGTGTAGTCCTTTCCTGTCTTGGCTGTCCCATCTCTGGTCTCAAACTCCACAGACACATCCTCCTTTGCCTCATCTTGTTTGCTTGGAGCAGAAGACTGTCCTGAGTCTGTGGTCGTTCCATTCCCCACGGGGCCATTGTTACTTTTGTTCACCTACATGTACATGTACAAGTTACAAGAGCACAGAGAATATCAGTAGTTTACATGAGCTGTTATACAGCTGCAGTAGTACTGCATATATGTAATGATTTCAAGTCATCAGTTTACCCTGAAGTGTGACAATATTTTAAATTACATGACATTTGAACCTTGGTCAAAAGGCATCCAGACATATTAAATTATGCATGATGGTAGCTCATTCAGAAGGCAGAAACTTAGGTAGCTAGAAAGGTTATGCTAATATGTACATGTACATGGTCACAATCTGTATATCCACTGTAGAATGGAATGCTGTGACTGATCAACATGTGGACCCACTCTACTGGCTTAACTGATAATTGACCCAAATATCAATTCATTGTCGTAAATCTTCCTCAAATCAGACTTTGCTACTCCCCTCAGGTTCATTAAGTACATAACAGCAGGTGTGTTTTCTTACCAAGTTGAGCTTGGACATGCTGTTGAGGAGGGTAAGCTTCGACCTGTTGGACCAAAACAATCAGTATGTCAGTACCAGGGACAGCACTAACACCAGTATATCAGCACCAGGGATAGCACTAACACCAGTATATCAGCACCAGGGACAGCACTAACACCAAGCAATGCATTATTGTGACATAGATTGTGAAATCAACATTAAGGTTTGGACATGCAGTTCAGGGCACATCTTTTTTTGCAAAATTAGGCTGAAAAGATCAATTCAATAATTGATAATAGATCATAATCCACATGCTTGTAACAAATCATGTATGATACACATCTGTGCAACAGGTTTCTATAAGGTGCTTATTTATGTAGGGACGCAATCTTGTGATACCTTAAACTACTGTGATATTTTTGTTATGCTTCAAAGTGTTATATAACTTGACCACACCAGTATGAGAGCTAACTCACAGTCGTCTCCTGTGAAACAGTACGTCCACTTCTATGGCCCCTGAACTCTCCAGCACGCTGTATGTATGGGTTCCAAATGTGAATTTCCCACTCATGTCATTAGCAGCTGTAGAGACAGAAGGTTGCTTTAGACAACAGTATGAACTGCAAAAAGACAAATAAGAATGCATGAAATGTGTATGGAGCAACTTAAGACTATTAGGAAGTAGCAACAACCTACCCAGTTGGCGCCTCATAGCTGGGCTTGTCAGGGCCTTAATGGACACCATCTTTGTCACCACCTCTGCAAACCTGGCTTTGGGCTTTGGCTTGGGCTTCTGATAAAGCATGGATCTCACCACTGCATGACGAAACCTGTGTGGAGAAAGTGCAATACCCGTTAATGCTACAACCAAAACTTAAAGTCTACTCTGGGCAAGTATGCATTCTCATTGCTGTGCAGTTTATATATTTATCGTTTTCTGGTTTATGGTGGCAGTGTTATGTTTTTCTAAGATACAGACTTCACTTAAAATTTATTTAGATCAAGTTTAGGCCACACCAATTTAATTTCTTGGTTAACGGATTCGCCGCTTCATTTTTTTCTGATTTGCAAATAAAAATAAAAATCCAGAATCAACTGCAAAATGCTCATATTTTGCCCTGAACAGTTGAAAACAGACGTTTTCATCCTAGTTGTTACAGTTATTCCATCTTTCAATGCAATGGTACCATTAAAAGTTCAAAATTCATTGTTTAAATTGTTAACCAGCCTGGTGTGTTGACTTCATGGCTCCATGGTACCATTTTGGGCCATAATACGATGCCTAGGCCTGTTTTTATTTTTTTTCGCCCGCCCGCACCATTATTTTTCTAGAAAAATCCGTTAACCAAGAAATTAAATTGGTGTGGCCTTATGTGAAATTATATTTTTCCAACTGTTTGCCAAATGCACTACACATGTACTAGTTCAGTTCATTATGAAATTTTTGCTATTAAATTTGCTAATAAGATTGTAGACATAATGTTCCTCATCTATCATTGCATTGAACCTGTTTGGACGCTTGAATCCATGCTAGTTATTTCAAATTACTTAAACTCAATCTTGTTAGTTAGTCTGTTGAGAAGATACTCTACATGCTGACATGCTGCTGACCATGCTGGACTCTTTATAAGTGGCGGAATATATCTACACAAAAGTGTCATTGCATGCAGCCTCCTCTCTACATCTGAAAGCATGCATCTAAGCTGTATTTCTGTTAGAACTACATGTAGTTGACTTCAGAAAAAGATAAAGGTTTTGTACTGGAAAGTGGTGCTCGGCTCTTTCTGCCTTTCTCTGAATCCCACCAATCCAATGCAAGGGAAGAATGTAAAAGCAGAGTGAAGCAGTGCAAGGATGTGAGAATGTAAAAGCACAGTCATAGGTTACACAACAACAGTAGCAACAATGTAGTTGACAGTTGAAACACATGTACACTGTACAGTACTGGTACTCATAGACAATTCAAACTGTACTACTGGATAAATTATGGAAATTACTTCAGGACATTTTGAGTGACATCCATCACTCTTCATCAGCATCACTAACGTGTGTGTCTGCGAGGCAAATTTCCATAATCTAAATCATGAATGTTGTATCATATATTACCACTGTTACAATTACAAATGTTAATGAGCTAATGTATAATCAAGATAGCCCTTCTTCTTCTTCAGTCATGTAGTAGATAAGTCTATCATGAGGTGTTTTAAAATTGTAGGGGGGAAAGTGCATTGTGAACATTATCAATGTCAAATACATTTATTAATTTCAGCCTTTTGTTAATATTCTTCTAGTGTTGTTTTTCATGTAAAGATAAATGTACAAGAGACAGCTACATTGTACAAAAGACAACACATGAAAAGGCAACTTCAGAAGAAGATTGTAAAAATAAAAAGATACTAACATTAGACATCTGACAGGCAGATGAACAAACATAAGTTACACCACAAAAGGTCTACTTCCATACACAATCTACATGTGCTTGTAGCAAACAGAGTGTCTCCAATGTATCCTACAGGTCAGAACTCAAAATATATCAGGTTGGCAGGTAAAACATATCTACTGTTGCAAGCAGATGAGATGAGTGGCTATCCATGCTAATGCACCCACTCTACCACATTGCAGGAAGTCAGGCACGTGCCCAAAGCAGTTAATGTCACAACCTGCACTCTAGAGCTTACCTTGATCTGCTGCTCATGGCACACATGGGCAAGCATTGTAGTTACAACATGTCGTGTTAAGATAGGACTTTGCACATTGTTGATTGTTGCAGACACAAGTACATAAAGCCCCTGTCACACATCAGGAGCTTCCAACAACACATAGCAACCAAAAACTCTCCAAGCCAGGTCAGTACTGGGTTAGGAGTAGCTTCTAATCAATCCTATCCCAGCTACAGTTTGCTCATCACATTCATGCAGAATATGACTTTCCCAAACTTGATTTTACAAAATTCAGTATGTGTGACAGGGTTTTGTAGGAAAGTACAATATATACATTGTACATGTATGAACATCTACTAGAACATTCAAATTAATTTGTTCACCAATTATTGCTTTAACCACCTTTTAATGATATGTGTAGTGAATGTACCATTTTTATTAGATGCACAGTGGTTACATTGTTATACTTTTTCAAAATCAGGGTCAAAGAAAAAGCAGTTGGCCTCAATATCTTTACAGTAATTTGATGCCATCTGACAACTGCCAGCTGCAATCTTTTTTCGTCTCAGCATCTGCAGCCCCTAATGTGTTCCACAGAGTGCAAAAACTCAGTGGCTGCACTAATAGGACCTATGGAGAGTGCCTCATTTATAGATAATAATTGAGGAAGCTATCAACAAGGGACTGTCATAATGCAAGCGGAGGAGACAATGTCTTACCTTGCTCTGGATAAAGCGTTGGTGGGCTGTTGTCCCTGCTGGGAAGGACGGTCCATGTCGTTCAGGTTCCTAAGGGAGAAAAAACTTTGGAATTCCTCATGTCAAAAAGCAGTTGTTTTTTCCTATTCAGGACTGTAGCCCTGTAACTTCGAAATTAGACACCTTTACTTAATACGTAATGACTTTTCTGTCATCTTCATTGATATACATCTTGTCTAGATTGTTAATAATATTATTTTTCAGTGCCTATTATTTTCCTCACTTTAATTTCTTTCTTTTGTATAAAGTGTCATTGTGCATGTAGAACGGCATGGTGCACTTGTGCTTTTTATTAGTTAAATGTGTAACATACATGTAGATTTTTTAGCACAGTTGCTGACATTGATCTTGGAACACTGATAGAAGATATCAAGAGAAGATGACAATAGATCATCTATCTCCTTTTGTATCGTGCTAGCTTGCCCTCTTCTTTTTGGACCAAGACTTTCCAGCCATTGTTGGCATTGTCCAAGTCATTTCATTGTTTCATTTGCATTATGTTGAAATAGCATGTGATGAATAGATCATTTTGTTACTGTAACAGTGTAATTCAGTGGACATTAAATTTACCAACTTGTACAACTTGAAAAAAGAGGTATGCAAACCAATCCACCATCACCGATTAAATATCAAGCAGACTTAATATCACCGTCTGTTTATTTTATTGAGTCTTGAGCATGTTTTAATGGTCCTTATGTGGAGCCCCACCTGTCATTAAATCTGGTAGGTTCAGAAGCCTGTCTCAGGTTGGCATGGCTGCATTAAGTAGAATAACATGGTGAGACACCAGGGTAGACATTTTCAATGTTTTCATGCTGTTAGGACTACTGCAATGTTAGGGGCCAAACAAAAGAAAAATAAAAAAATTAAGAAAAGCTATTTTTCCTTTTATTTATTAGTTCACGCATGCTTTATGTCCCATTTCCCTTTTAGATAAAGAGAAGCCTCACACAACTACTGTAACAGTAACTGTTATATCTGCTTAAAGCAGAAGTTTAGTCTAATCTTTTAGAATTTCTTTCTTTTGATGCTAATATTACATGCAAATCCTAAGGCATGCAAAATAAGTGTATGGAGATTTGTTAACCTGGAAAAGAAAAAAAATACCACCCAATGGTTAGATTAGTTTAACACCGGATAGCCATGCAGTTATCGTCACAATTAAAAAAGACAGCATGCTGTAAAAGCTTTATTCAAATGTCAGCAGCATTCTCTCCTCTGACAAGATGTCATGCATGAGTTCTCTCCCTGTGAATAGCCCGGCTTACCTGTTGCGGCCCTCCAGTGCCAGCAGCTCAGTTGGTGCCCTTGTGTTCAATACGCTGGCACGGCCCTGGGGACTCCCAATCACCCGCACATTCTGCAACAAAGACGTTCATTCGATTAGCCACAAAAGCTTTCAAGGGGAACAAAGACTGCTCTAAGTTCTGTTCAGTTGACCCCAATTTCTATCCCAATGGTCCAAGATCGTTTACCACTGTGGCCACAACAGGTAAATTTTATTCGTCGCATGTGCGAGCACATTGATTTTGGCCTGATGTCAGATATTCTAATATTCCTTTCTAACAGTAGGCAAAACAGGAAATACATTTGTAATAAAAATCACTTCAAACCTGTCATGTAACTCTAAAGAATGACTAATTAAAATTCTCATGTCCTAAAGCAAATGTGACAGATTTGTCATACACAAACCACCCACAAAGGAGCATATGCCCTCACACCATCACTAAATCTTTAATGGATCGATCTCATGTGGTGCTTCTGAACAAATGTTGTCGCAGTCAGATTATTCATGTTGGGTGCAATGACCATGGAAGTTGGAGAAGTCTTGTCTGTACATTTTTGCCTGGAGTAAAATTATTACTTCCATATTGGCTGTTAACAGTTAACTGTGTTTTATCAATTTCATTATCTTTAAACCATTTTTGAAGATCCAGACATCTTGTTTCTTTTAGGCCAGTCTTTTCTCACATTGGACTTGGGATCTACATAGGATGTCGTCTACAAGATTTGCTTGGAGTGGCCCAGGGATCAATAGTACAAGATCAGTTTTATCATGTGTCTTACTCAAGTGTCAAAAGTGTTGTGATCATTATCTGTCGCAATATAAAATGTTCAATATCCCTTTGGCCTGTTGGCCTTGGTTAAAAATGATCACACCTCAGGCAGAACGTATCCTCAGCCATCTGAGCAGAAGCAAAATTGCATACTTTGCAGAAGGTAATGTTCCTTTTTCTGCAGTGACAGTGATTTATGTTAGCCTTAGAAATAATGTGTGATTTCCATGTGGCAGGGAGAAGGCCAATAATCCCCACTTGTGGCCTTCCGGCTCAGAGTTCATCTTCACCTTAGGCCAGGACTGTGAGATTAACCCTCCCTGTGTCTGGGAACAGCAGAACTGAGCTTTACAAATGGCTCCATGGGGCCACCTTGAAGAGAAAGTCCACTTCATTTTATCTGGTACTGTTGCATTATCCTTCTGATGACTTTTTACATAATATTATAAGTGAGTAGGAATAAATCATCAGGAAAATATCCTTTTGAGCCCACAGACTCAGCAGGCAAGCCATTTCCTGTTGTGTGATGGCAGCTTAAAAAGTTGTTTCTTTCACCTTCCAATAGTTCTATGCAAACAGGTGCTTTAACTACTCCATTTATCACCAGGCTACTCAGTGTCTCACAGTATATCATATCCCCAGGGCATTATTTACCTCCTTGTGTTGGCTGACGGCAGCATAGAAACAACCCAATTACTTCCCGCAATGTTTTGAGTTGCTAGCAACAGCAGTCACAGCTGCTACTTAAATCTATATCAGGTAAGACCACAGTAAAAGGAAACAAATCCAGACATGTCTAGGCTGTAATTAGCAATTGTTTTTCTAGATGGACTGTGGTATTACTTTTTTGGCCTAGTCACCACCCATATTGCGATGATGATCCTTGTGGGTACCATCCTTATGTGTCAGGTTACTTCGGTCCTGTCCAACACCTTTACTATTAGATAATAGCTTCATTCTGTTGGAAATGCCTAAGGACTTGTCTCACAAATGACTAAGGCACAGCTTTCCAGACAACTTTTGATAACTTCTAATGGTTTGTCCCTTTCTTTTCTCATCTACACAATCTTAATAAGTTACTCTGGGGCTTAAATTTCTTATCATCATTCAAAAATATACCCTCTGGAAACCTCCACATTTTTGCTGAAATGAATTTAAAATCCTCAACCTGTTAACTCCGCTGCTGTTCTCCTTCATTTAATTCTAATTTACAGGGTTAGAGTATCCCAGTACTTCCCTTCATCTCTTCTCAAACCTCACATCTTTCTGTCATTTCTCCAACATAGTCAATAACAGGAGGCATTTACATAATATCTTTGTTTGACACAGCCAAACTGTACATGTAGTGTCCTAATAGGAGCTGGGATAATAGGATCAACTAAGCGTAAATAATGCCTGAAATTACTCCATTAACCTTTTGAAACTGTGAATAGGGAAATAACACTCCAGAATAGGCAAAAGCAACCCTCAATGCATGTTTTCATGATAAAAACTTAAAATCAGGTTATCATTGACACCTGTAATCAATGTCTAATATGTTTTATGTTTCAGTTTCTTTTGACTAATGAGTGCTGAATACATTTTTGATCATCTATCTACCTATTCTGATATAATAAAAATTCCTTGACTTACCAGGTCCTCTTGCATACTGGGTTCTGAGTTGTGGATCCTGGAATGCTGACGTTTGCACCACCAGCCACTGTCCTGGGCATAAGCTGTCAACACCAGCAGAGGGGTGAAGCCAAGAGTGACCCAAGCCTCCCAGACGTCGATAACTCCTGGTGTCACCCAAATAACCACCACCAGCATCCAAACATATGCAAACATGGACCAGAGAGAGGTAATAACGAAGACTCCAAACTCTCGGACCGCTTTAGTCTCTGGAGACGGCACACTGGCAACACAGATGGCATTGATAACTAGAAGATTGAAGGCAGCGCTACCCACAATGGTAAAAGGCCCCAGGCCATCTTCCGGTGGCTTTCCTAGTTCCTGGACGGCTTCTATGATGTTGAGCATGATTTCTGGAGCGCTGCTGCCAAGTGCCAACAATGTTAGATTAGCGATGGTCTCATTCCATAGCAGGACTTCTCTCTCCACAGTCTCTTGCCTTTCTTCATCCCACCGTACTACTTTTCTTTTCTTGCTGGTGATGACTTCTATGCTGCACATGAAGACATCACTGCCAATGGTGATCCCGATGAATATATAGATCATGGCCAGGAAGTACAGTATCCCTCGGAGTGGCGAGGGCCACAAGTTCTCTGCTGGGAGCAGGAGCCAGCTTTCACATGGAAGTGTCCCATTGGGCAAAGTTTCCACAACATACCCATGACTATAGTTGGTCTGCCAAGAAATCAGATCCATGGTCACCTCATAACAGGTTCAGCAGACTGAAACAGAAAGACAGAAGCATATTATATAATAGTGGCTTTGGAACAACAATGATTGAAGACAATTTCTTCCAAAATATTTTCACTCACCATATATCTAACTTGAAGTTCTTGTTAATGTCATTGATCACAGTGCATCATGTACATCATGACTTTATACATGATCAGCTATTGAGAAAATTACTGAGAGGCTAGGTGCACTCATCCCTTGCTCCCATAACCAATGGAAGTTAACAGAATCTATTCTACAAATTCCCACTTCCCTTTCTGGACATATGTTGTTCATACATGTATTCAAATTTGCCCAAAATAGTCAATGTAATGAAAAGGAAGGATAGCTTATCAACAGACAAGCCACTTGAAGTGCTATTCAATCAATGTACTAACTGTATATGCTGACTCCACATGTAACATTAGAGTTTCTATTTAAAGGACACAGTGGGGGTACATGTTTATGATGCTTGTTCTCAGATATTCCTTTTAAGCATGCACCAGATGCTCAATGTTTTCATCAAAGAGAAGGCGGAGTATTACCTGGTCGATGTTAGGCAACCTAGCAACACCAACCAGACACAACAATGTGTTTCCATTGCCATGGCAACAAAATGCTGGCATATATGCTGGAGGTTAGAAGTATTACATCCTTCTGTCAGCTTCCCGGCAACTTTAGAAAGGCCTTAATTAACAGTGAACCAAGGTAGTGATTTTTTGGAGGCAAATTGTAGCCATCCCAGCTCATTGCACTGGGCCCTTGTAGTTAGCATCTAAGTGGATATACCCAACTAGATTGGCATCCAGGAGAGATTTGTCCAAATGAAAGCAGAAATTTTAATCAGACTGATTCACTGATACATAAGGAATGGAGCCAATCAAAGCCCAGTGTTTTATGTTGTGGCAACCTGAAGGCTTCATGGGTAACAGGATTTATTGACACCATAAAAACTGCTCCTAATTTATATGTACAACATGTACCAGATATGATTTATCTTTTCTGAGAACATGGCCATCAATCATATTGGAGCAAGCTGTTTGAGTTTTGCAGCTGTCATGGAGACCGGGTCGACATGGGTTTCCATGATTGAGGAATAAATCAGCTTGGTGCTTAAACTCTGGGCCAAGGATCCCCTGAGCAAAGAACTAACTGGGCTAGCTTTTATGTGACGTGATTTGGGCTGTGATCTATGAGGCAGTCCAGGAGCAGCCCAGAAAGTCTCTATGCATGGTGATTACACTCTGCAATCAAGGTAATGAAAGTAATGCAGACTTATGTATTGGTCCAGTACTGGGGAGATAATTAGAAATTACAAATGATATCAAATTAGGTCATCTTAAGATACTAAATCTTCCGTACTCAGATTTATTGAATTAGTCAGAGGAAAACAGGGCCTCTGAATTTTAAACAGCTCATATAGCTCTGATAGATGGCAGGTGAGCCCAGGTTTAAACCATTGGTATAGTTAAGTTTTTCTCTTGTTTGATTGAAATGTGGTGTGAAGTACACAATATTTGATACCATTAATGGGGTTAAAAATGGGGAGAAATCCTCAAAACTAATCTAAGTATGACTATAAACAATGCAGCCTAAAATCACATCAGTACCAAACTATTAAGGTCCAAGCAGATATAAGGATCTGGCTCATTCTCTGTGTTTTACACCTGTTTTTTAGCAGTTAGTACTTTTTTTTTCTAGCATTGTATCTTTAACAGTTCACCATCAAATTTTCCTAAAATACAATACTTAGAAAGTGTATAAAAACAGAATCTGATGTAAAACCTGCATGAAACCAGCGAGCCGTGGAAGACAAAGTGCTATGGAGGAGGATTTCTGGATTGGTGTAAGTGGGAGCTCGAACTACATGAATGTAAGTAAGCAGGTAAAACACCAAGAATGAGCCTTTTTTTACATCTGCTTGGAGATTACCAAACTATTAGGGCACAAGATGGGATGGGAGGTCCAAAATACTTTCCAGTTCCGCCAAAGAGAGCAATTATGACCACATGTTGCACAGCTGCATTAAGTCCCCCTACCCCAAATTACTTTACTGTCAACCCCTTTTATTGCAAAAGATGAAATTGTCCTCTTTCTGTCTTGTCAGTGGATGTGACCTGAATGGAGAAGGTATATTTTGGGACAGCTGCATACTAGTAATTCAGCAATGCCTTGTGTCGTTTTTTTCCATTCAATTTTGCCAAACATTTTTTCTATCTTTCTGTCTTAGAAAGAGAAGGGGCCACAAGAACAATCCTTGTCATCATTGAAAATTACACCATTGACCATGAATGTTGTATAATACTATGTACCTCAAGAATGTCATGATTGTAATGTGAATCACAATAACTGCATTAAGCCAAGATACACAATATTGTAATTGCTGGACTGCTGATAAAATGGGTTAATCATGATGGACCATTGTAGCCATAGAAAAGTATCCCTCCTTTACACAATTATTAGTCAGTTCAATTTCTGTTCTGTAACAAGTTGTATTGGATGAACTTGCCATTACAAATGAGTAAACATGTACATCATTTTTTGCCTGCAGTACCATAGCCAACCTGTAGAGTTAAGGAGGCTGAGTTTTGTCTTCAAAACAGGAATAGCTTTAACGTTATGTAAGATAAACAGACTTTCAAGTTAGAGGAAACTACATTGTATAAGATATATGGTTATAAACTCCTTCCAGGCCCCCATACTGAGCCAATGTACGTACAAACCTAACCAAGTTATATTCTTCAGTTCATCCAATGATGAAGATTTGTTGTTGAACAACTCATCCAGAATCAAACCCCATCTGGCAGGATGCTTTCTCACCATCCAGTTCCATCATGTTTGATGAACACCTGACTCAGCAGGCTGTCTTTCCCTTGTGCACAGAGGTGATAACAGTTTTGCATGGCTACCTTCTACATTTGTACTGATAATGTGTAATGATACCGAATTAGATATGGCTCTAACTTTATCTTTCCTTTGCAGAACAAAGCAAAATAGTTCAGAAATTACATTGTATATTGTCAAGCTTTTCTTACACTGCTTATAACAGTTATGTTTATAAGCTGTTTCACCTTCTCTCTGCTGCCTAACCTATAATAACCAAGACAAATTTGGAGCCAAACCACTACCTTACCACTACCAGGCTAAAGGTTAAATGCTCTTTCAACATTATGAAATATGATATATATATATATAAATGGTACTTGTGTGAAAACCTTGAATAGTTTTTAGACACAACAGTTTCGCAAAAGAATTACATAATATGTTGATATCTCTCAACTGCAAAAAAACAACAACAAAATTTACCTCAACTCACACCCAGCCACTTCACAAGTAAAGTACACAGGCACACAAAGGCCTTGAGTCAGCTGTTAACTCAATGGAACTGATTGATAGTGCAAAGAAAACATCAGGTCTGTGACACAAAGAATAAACATAACAGGCAGGCATATTTTTAGTTTGTTATGAATGGTTGCCAGTTGCGTAGTGACAGCGTAGGTTATTGTACTGAGCATAGGTTATTGTACTGGCCACTGTTTCTCACCTCAATAGCTGGATGGATACAAGAGGTTGTGTCAGGCTACAGACATGGCAGCCGTCCTGGAGGCAAACAGGGAAAACAGTTCCTTGTCATGAGCTACATGTATGACTGCTTCGTTTCACACGCCACTCCTATCCCATCAGCATGTTTTCACATATATCCATTCAATCCGTAGAGACCTAACCTTTTTTCACCATTGTTTGCACCTATCAAACTATATTACAAATGGATTAACCAATGATTTGCTGTTGCAAGCCTAATAGCATATCCTACAACTTACATGTATCCATTCTGACAGCATTATTCAATCATGTTTACGATAATGACGACATTGGTTCATTGGACTAGTTAGTAATTGGTGGATTCTGAAAATCTGTATGCTAGTTAGTTATGCAGATTATAATAAACATCAATCATTTCTTATCCTGATATAACAGGCCATTCTGACGCAGTTAAGTTGTCACCTAGGAGATCAGTAATTATTGCCCCAGTAAGGGAATTAGGCATGCTGCAAACCTGAGTAATAAACAAGGAACAGCTATCCACATTGTACATGGTGAGATCAGAACAGAGAAACTTTTAACTCTACATTTATAAACCATGAGGGAGTCTATTTCAACAAATTGCTCTGAATAGCAAGTTGTATTTTTTGTACAGTTTACCGCTCAGAAGCCTGTCAACCAGTTTCTACTCTTTCCAGCCACTTCAGAAGCCTGGTAAAGGCTAGGTACAAAATACATTACATATCATTTCATTATAGCAAGTAGAAAAATAATGGACCAAAAATCATGGCATATTGGATTGAATTCTACCAATTGAACTTTTACATTGATTTGAAGATAAAGCTTTGTTGAAGGAGAATAAGACGGCTAAAACTACACAAAAGCATTTTGTCTCCCCTCTACTTAGGGCGGTGTGACCACAATGCTTTCTTGTCACTGATCTGGATTTGCAGGATAATCTTTCCCTGCTAAGCCAGTCTCTTGCAGCATTTGCTATGACAGGTGGTGCTGACATATTATCCCTACATCCATCTCCCAATGAGGTATTGGTAAGGAAGATTGTCTGACAGCTGCATGGCTCTTCAGAATGAGGGGGTCTCCCTACCAACATCTGCTTGGAGGTTGATGTACGCTTGGGGAAGGGGGCTTTAAAACAGGGCTGTCAGAAAACATTACATAACCTTCCCTACCAATGCCTGCTTGGATACTGATATAAGGTTGATAAGTCAACACAGCTTAGCGATTTACCCTAAACAGCTCAAAATACCACATGCCCACAATGAATGCACTCTTGAAAGTTGAATAAAAGGATGTTGGGCAGCTGCTATGCAATGAATCCTGTGTAGACTCTCCCGACACAAGCCCAAATAAAAGGGAAGAAAGAACCCCGTGCCTACTACACAATACTGTTTAAACATGGCAGCGAGAGATGCAGAACCAGGTCAATAGATGACAGCTCAGGCACGAGTTGGATACCAACCTCAACAAAAGGATTTCCAACCAACACTTACCAGCATCGCAAACATCATAAAAAGTAGCCGCTACAGGTAATAAATCAGTTCCTGGCTGTTTGGAGGACCAGTTGTCACCAGAAATGTGCAAACCTTCTTCAACCAGTCACACCATATTGATTCACTTCTCACAAAAGCAAGGATCCTGAGACGTTATGCTAGGCTGCGCACCAATTGCCTCTTGTCCCAGCACTCATTGTATGGTCCTGACCACCTCTCACCCCTACCTCAGTTATGCTTTGTGCCACATTCAATAGAGTTTGTTTGTGTTGCTGCTGTAGTTTTATTTAGCTCTGAGGTATTATCTGTAAACAAATCCTGTGTCTAGCGACCAGTCCACGTTCAATAGGTTGAAAAGAATGTATCTGGACAGCTGAAACTGATACCATAGGAAGCATCCATATGTGGTAATGTATGCTGGACTAACACTTTTTAGTCATCCATCAGCCCACTTTAATGTATTGATCTCGGGTGTAAGTATCCACTGAGATGGGTGGGAGCTACACCTGAGAGGTGGACGTGTGCCATACATGTGACCATGGTACTGGTCAGCAGAGGCGGCAAACAGTTACTTCATTCTGACCTGTATCTTTCACATACAAGGATTATAGGCAAACACACAACCTTCCCCTGCCTCCCACTAACTACAAATACCACCCTCCTGTGCAACCAGCTTCACATACAGGTGTTTTAAATCCTCTTTAAACTTGTGTTGCAAGATTAATGTCAGTTGGGGACTGAAGATTCAGACGGTACAAACCCAGTAGTCTGGACAGATCAATTTGTGCTGACGACCCATCTACTATATCATGTATATCGCATTACATGTATCCTTGGTTAGTGTTTAATTTCCAGACTAGTCCATCAGGCTACCTGTTACAACATCTTTATCGTTTTGATCATGCATTAGTCTGTATGTGTCCCCTGAGTTTCTTTAATCCTGAACCATTTCTAGCTAGAGTTTGCACTGATTAGATGAGACTTACTATATTAATGGACAAACCTAATTTGACTTCCAATACATATGCAATAAGGTTAATGTGGAATACATCCATATTTCCAGCAGCCTAGTGTGGTTAGTGCAGTAATCCTGCCACAAGGCTTCTCATGAATTGTTAACCATTTCTACCCTCCATGCCTAATGTTTCTGAATAACAGCATCCCTAAAATAGAGATATCTGTAGGGACACATTCTTTGTCCCCCAACATTAGATGTTCTTTTACGTCACAGGATACTCCCTTTGCAGTGATGTTTTAGAGAATTGAAAGGGCACATAACATACATGCATACATAAGGCATTAACCACAGGTCCACAAAAGATGTAACTATTACGACGATGATCAATATCTTTATTTGGAAGAAGTCAAGAAAGATAAAAACAAATGATTGAATATGCTTGCTGGGATGTAAATCATAGTGAACATGCCAGCCAACCCATCAAGCCAAGGGGAAAGTTTAAACCATTATGGCTGCCAAAGGAATTCACAGTAGTACCTGGCAAACTTCCCAATAACTCACCCACATATGCCCAACATTACAAGGTACTACTTTGAGAAAAAAAAATCATTATTCACCTCCTCAAGACCCTCTTGTGGGGTTTATTCCGCACATCAAACCTGAGAAAATGCTTCCGGCTTCTTCCCTCCCAGGTAGCCCCTGATGCAGGCTGAAGTGATAATGTAGGCAGAGTTATTCCCTTCAGCACATATTGATTACTGTTGGTGCATCTTGCCACTCAGACGGTCAGACCTCATGGTCGATAATGGGCCTCATGTTTGTCATTTCTAGTGTTTGTACCCAATACAAACTGTACTGTAGGCAAACTATAGGCAAACCCTGGAAGAATTTAGGCACACTCTACTGATCACAGAAGAAACTATTGTGGCAATTGTGTACTTAAAACACAATCTAAGAAAAACTGTATTTCATTGCATTGTTAAGCCGTGAAGGGTCTGTTCAATTTGTGAGAAGACCCCAGGTGCGCTCGGTCCGCGGTGTTGCCTGCAGACTGACACACTGAAAAGGAGCCTTTCATTACCAGATAGATTTCGTATGTCGAAGTAGCATATCTTATATGGATGGCGCTGGGAGCTGACGGGATTTAGGGGTGGCGTCACTGCCCAGCCGCTGACGCTTTGGGTAACAAGAGACGTCTCGGCTCCTCTGCACCGATCTTTAATCATAAGGGTGATTCACATTATCATATAAAGGAAAAGCAGGCCCCTGACGAAGAAGAAACATTCTCGTTCCTCCACTCCGATCCTCTCTGAATTTTCCGTGTAACATCAGCGAAAACAGTCTGAGTAGTATAGTCAGTAGTTAGTCTTAGGACCAAATTATATTACTCCCTTTGACACGTCAAAGTATGGAGGGAATGAGAGGACTATCTCAGTAACTTTTTTATGACGGAAGGTTTCTACCAGAAAGTTTAGCGTGATGTTCCCATCACCATTTGGCAGTCCGTCTGTGACAGTTGATGCTGGATCAGATGCTACTTTTTTCATTCTTGTCTATATAAACTACCATAAGGCTGTCTTTAACCTGATATCATGCGTTCGCTTGGATTTAAAAGAAGCAAAGCCCCTACCCTCAAAGAGAAAACTTTGACATCGAGATGAGAAAAGAACGCCCATATCATGAATGAACGTGTATATCTTCCCATCATGCCTCTGATAGAAGTTGATTAATTAATAAGGGCTGCGATAGTTAGCGTTTACTAAACAATGATGGATCTTTTGTTTCTCCATCACGACCGTTCGACCGCCTGCTCCTAGTTGGGCTTCATGTTGATTTGCATACTCTGAAGCGCAATTGAGATCGCTTCGTTTTTAAGGTGCCGACTCTGCATATTCAATTAGATTTCAAACCACTGCCGAGCTTTCGCATGAATTTTGTCATATTCACCTGCATTTCGCTATTTAGACTAGAAAGAAAATTGTCAACTAAACGTTTACACATTTCCGACACCCAAAACCTTCACCCTGGCAAGTACGTTCTATGTTTCATTGGACTAAGATCAAGGTTTGACATTTCTCTACCCTAAAAGGCACGATTTTGTATGGACAAACCGAAGTTGATTTCAAAACACTTGAAGATATTGTGCTCAGGTGGTGGCTGTCTGTACTTGCCTGCAACCTCACAAAACACCCAGAGGCACATTGAATATACTAGTAATTGTTTATTGCAAATTCTATATATATATAAAGCTCTAAAACATTATAATATCACCCAGCTGTTAATGTTATCTTACAGGAACTTTGCAAGATCCCTCTTTGTCGTATGGTATGGAGATATTGGTGCCGTACAAATGGTAACGTGGTTAACGTAAAGCCATTTAATTAGTGCCCGTACACACCTTTCCAGCTGTTCCGATAGAGGCTGCGACCACTGAGCGACCAAATGTTTGAGACTGAGAGATCACTCAATGATTTTTTTCCTAGATAAAGATAGATTTTTAGCGCTTTATGTGTGTTTTCTTTTCTTTTCTTTTTACCCACACACCATGTTCCAACTCTGAAGTCAAGTTTCACGCAAATTCAATTCGGTCGCCCGCCATCTACCGAAGAGGGGGTCTAACCAGCTGACTAACTTAATTCGAGGCTTAAAGAAAACCGATACGGCACAGTGATAGTGTAGGTTATTACATTCTAAGGTGCGGGAGCTGACAGGAGACCTCAGGCTCTATATGATATTCAATATGAATTCGAAAGGCGTTGTCTGTAACCACCACGTAACATGACGGTTATGGACCCGGCTTTTGTGGACTAGCTATGGATGTATGTATGTTGTATGACCAAGAGACAGGAGAACGGCAAGAAGCATGCGGAATTTGAACACGCGACCTTGAGATGATTCAGCAAAGGGATTGCTCACCGCCAGACCATTCCACGCTGCTGACAGACGGTAACGGGGGAGACAAACAAAACATACCCTAAAAATGACAGCTTAGATTTATCACGGGGCGGTGGAAAGAAAATAAAGCTTTACAATGAAGATCCAGCTCACAAATTTTTAAGTCTTCATACTTCGTCTTTTTTTAAGGGTATTGGAATTTTACGGGCAATGGGCGTTAGTAACTGTTAGTGGGACGGAACTGAACTCTGAAGCCGCTCCATTACGTGCCCGACGCAACATTGGCACATCTCATGACATTTCGTTCTTTTTCCGTGAACTGAGGGCAATAAAATAAATACAGGAGCATGTACATGTAAATGATTTTGGATAAAAAACGTCTCTCTACCCTTTTGTCCCGTTTCGTAAGCAGAACTTGAATATGAAACAGCTATGTCTTTTGTATCGGGTATGATGGGGAGTGATGATGACATTTCGATTACAACAAATAATCGGCGCACAACAGCTGAATATATAACCAGCATGAAAATATTACGTATGTACGCACTGCCTATATATAGCTAGCTACGCGAATGAAATTTGTAATTTTGTATGTCCGCAATGGAAAAACGTACGTCTGTATATCGTGTCTTTCTCTTGCTCTGCATCACCCACACCCCTTATCACAGGAGGCGTGTTGAGACTATAATATTGACCAAAAGTGAATGGTGGCATATCAGCCTAACTCGTGTATCACCAAGATAAGCACAGCTACCTACTCAGAAAGGAGTTGGAATGTGGAATGAAAGAAAGTTAACGGAGAGAGGTCTTGTCCAACAAGCAGAACCGAAGCCGTTTGCTTGGACTTAAAAGCCATGATTACTTCTTTGCCTCTATCGATAGACTGCAACAGTTCATCCTACGATTGAATTATTCGGCTCCCCTGAAGGATGGGTTCCGGTTGAAGTTCAGTATCAGGTGCAATTATAGCGGGCGCCTGTGAGGTTGAACGGGAGAGAAGGTTTCTGCCGCAGTCAATTGATGTTTCCATCTGCACAACAATACTGTGGCGAAGCGGTGGGAGGAATGCTAGCAGGGAAATGCACGTCGCTAGCCAAATTTTCGACCAAAAACATCATCATTTTGTTAAGATGGCATCAGGAACGAATAAATGCAAATATGTATGGTTATATCTATGCTTTTGAAATGCCCAACATGACCACTTCGCAGGCATTACGGACATATCCGTCCATTTCATTTGTGTATCACAAAATTATGACTTGCATAAGTGTAC